TGGATTTAAAAGCACTTCCATAGTTAGAAGTCCAAAAACCAAAAAACCTTCACCACCCCTTCACGCAAACCCCCTCCCCACCCCCCTTCCCACCCAAAACCACAAAACTCTCACAGCAGGTCACGAAGAGGGATCATGAACCACAGGTACTTACCATTGTGTCTGCATCCATAAAAACACATTTTGAATATTGTGTCAGTTCCCAGCAGTGAAGTTTTGTGAGAGTGACACCCAGCTCAGGTCTCCTCATTAATGCTAAGTGTGCCGAATCTCCACTATCCAGGATATTTACCAATATGACTTCATCAAAGACTCTTTCCAGCACTTTCCTGTGAAGAGGTAGTTGCCAGGATTTAGTTCTGTTGTTATTCCAATACCAGACCACTTGACAAATTCCATGAACAGAAGCAGGGTAACAGGGAACCTGTTACAGTACTTCACGTGCCATCAGTAAGAGCTGACTACATATATTTGAACGCATAAGCATTCCTCTCCACCTCAATGTTTCTAGTTTGTAATGGACACCTTTTGGGGAATTAAGACGTTTTTTCCAAACGCGGGTTTAATTGGTATTGCTACCAGGTTAGATAGGTCACGGCTATGTAGTACAAGCTTTCCACGCGTTTTTCCCCCCGCTCTTTTAGCGAGATGACAGACTACTTTAAGCTTACAATTAAGAAATAGGAAGCTGCTAGAGTAGCTTGGGCAAGACTTCGTACAGTAGCTGAATCCTAAGCAGTTGTAACAGAAGTTTATGCAATAGCCATGACAACGCTGTTCTGTATTTGTAACTATTAGAGCCACGTGACCAGACAGTTATTAAAGCTTTCTTTATCCCATTCAATTTTAAAGGCTCACTTAAATCATGGCTGTGGGTGCAGCAGCATTTTGACTCAGTATCACGTCCACCTTAAGGGTGGCACTTAAACTTTCAGACAGCGTAGTGAAATTCTGTGGCAGATAACCTCTCTTGTAACTAAGCAGCGATGGTAAAACAAAGGGTGGATAAGAAGCATGTGCTTCTAAGAATTTGAAGCCCCTGTGAAGTCTCACTATTGTATGCAGCATCTCGAACGCTCGGCAACAATCTGTATGGTTTAAGCCACAGAGAGCTTACAGATGAGTTGAAACTCAGCTTTACAAGGCTGTCTTTCTGCTGATGAAAAGTTTGTGAACAGTTGCTTTTAACTTAAGGCACAAATTGTTTGTGGATAGAGTAAAAAAAAGAGAAATTGCAAGTTAAGTTCCACTTATGCCATTAAGTGTGTACTGGTAGTGTTGCTATAGCTGGTCTAAGAACTTAGTATAGCTACTTTGACCTAACACAGTAAGCATGCTTATTTGTTTTATCTTGAAAGAGGGCACTCACCTAGTGCATTGAAATAGATATACCTACATGGAGCATCATTAGAGCGATAAAGCTGTTTAGCTGCCAAGAGACTCCAGACTCGCTCCATTTACTGAGCCACTTCTTTGCAGTCTTTATAAATTGAATTCTCTCTTCAAGAGAGCTTTCCACGTAGGGACTCTTGAATTCTAATCTGCAGTTCACGTAGCTATTAAGTCAATTCCTCTCCCCCCTTACATGTGGGAAAAGCCCCCTGTCAGTTCCATACTGAGATTACTTCTAGAGAGGCCATAGGAAGCAGTTTCCCGAGAGTTTCATTTGTTTTATTGTGGTGAGCCTCCTTAGACACCTCTGTCATTCTGTTGATTTGACATCCTTGGTGCTACTTCAGTTCTATTCATTTTATTCTCTCATGCAATCAGATTTGAGGTGTCTGACAGATTCCAGTAGAGTTTCAGTGTTACGTTAACTCAATCTGGAACACTCCTGTGAGGCAGGTAAATACCATTCCCCTACCTCCACACAGACCCTCTAATGAAGGCACAAACATCATCATATTTTTGGGCAATTCCAGGTATGACTATGAAAGAGTCGAGACCCACTTCCAACAGTAACATCAAGTCACAGTTTAGCGCTCTGATACAGAGTTTTGTTTTAAAAGTCATCGCCACATAGCGATACGGAAGGAAGACAGAAAAATAAGAGGAAAAAAAAATACACAAAGCCACACACCGTTTCTTGTCTGAAGAAACGCTTACAGTGCTTCTTCAACAGATAGTCAAAGTTTGATTCTGCTGGGCTTAGTTGCTAAGCTTCCAGAGTTTTAAAAGGCTACTATAAAGGAGTCTAGCTTTCCCTCCCCGCCCCCCTTAAAAACTTTCACATCAGCAGGCGCTGTGGCAGTTTGATGCCTTTAAGTGACCTTACCTCATGGGATCTGAGACCTGAGGAGTTATGAGCACAGTCAATTTCCTTGTTGTTCTGTAGTGTTGCAAAGATGAACCAAGTACCAGTGCTCCTTTCACATAGGAATCGTTTGTGGCTAGAGTCACAAAAGACTGATCTGGAAGAAATGAATTTCGCCAGGTTAGCAAAGTCCTCCACTTTATTCTGAGACAGATGTACTAGAAACCTAGAATTGTTGGGCAGGTAGTCATGCTGAGAAACCTCTCCCTTTGAGCGTGCTGTGCCTGCCTGCTACTGAGCGAAGCAGATTATACTTGCATAGCTATACTTGCCATTAGCAACTTGACACATAACAAGATGTAGTAAAAAGCAAAATCAAGATTGTTGCAAGAGAAATGCAGTTCCAGCTTGCCCACAGGTTAATGTCATGCCAAATGTTAGTGAAAAGCTAAAAAAAAAAAGAAAAAAAAAGTAGAGAGGCATATTTTGGGCAAATACATAGCCATTTTCAAGTACTGGTGCCAGTAAGCTTGCATGTAGTCTACATTTAAGAACAGTTCAGTTTTGCGGAGTTACTCCGTGTTCAGCTCTGAACACGGAAGCTAGGGCAGGATAAATCTTAGGTTTCACTTTAAATGAAAGCAACTACTGAATTAGATGTTGGACAGCAGTATTAAGTTTTACTAGCTCAAGATTTTGCAGATGAGTTGTTTAGCAATGCATTGTTGCAGCTTTGTCCCAGGAATGCAAGATTTAGGTGGGAAGCATCCAGTAATAAGTGATTTAAGACCTGTAGCAATGCCTTTTGCCTTTTAATTAATGCTCTCTCGAAAGGTATGGTTGGATCGTTACTCTAAAGTATGACCTTGCGCTCTAGTGGTCTCTTATAAAAATGATGATTAAGATGTATTACTTTGCCCTGTACTACTCATGCAGGCCAAAAAATTCAAACTTTATATTCTTTTAGTTTTCATGTTTTGTTTTAAACTGCCAGGGTGGAACTGACATAGCTAAGAATGAACTTAAGTTAGTTCAGAAATCACTTGTTTGACTGTCATCACGCAGTAGCCCTTTCAAAGCCTTTTTTTTTCCAGGTAGGAATTTCAGGAAGATTTTCACGTTCTTAGATGTTATGTATGAGTCCATGCTACCGTCTAGGCAAGACCAGTTACTGCTTGTTTCAGGGGTTAAATCTGCAAGAGACCAGTGCACTCTACCCCCCAGGGTGTGGGTCTCCCTTCTTATCCTCTCCCCCGCCTCCATTCACTGTAAACTTTTCCTCCCCAGAAGGCTGCGTTCACGCTGTAGTCGCTGTTGTCCCTCAGCGCAGACGCGGGCACAGTTAGCGACTAGTGCTAACTTGGCTGCAGCAACACAAAGCCTGGGATATTTGTGCAGCTTCCTAATGGACGTAGGTGGGCAAAAGCTTTCTCGTGTTATAGGAGCCTGTCTGCATCTTTAGAGGCTGTTTCAAGGACGTTTTCGGCTGCCCGTTTCACCGGCGGCGGCCGGAGGGAAGAGCCCTGGGCGCTGGCCCCGCTCCCCAGGCCGCCGCCTGGCCAGGC